AAAAAAAAACTAAATAAATCATAAACCATACAAGGGAGAGAAGCACTCACATTCCACTCATGAAAAATGTGACCTTGTCATCACTATCCCATTCAGCCAAACGAAGTGGTTGTACCCTCGTGGTAAATTTGAAACCAGCTTTTTCTTTCATAAGGACAACCCCAGCAGGAACAGTAGCACTTATTGGAGATACAATCTTGCAGATACCTAAAGATTGAAGCACGATTTTGTTTCATTGGTCAAGGTAAATGAAAAGGAGAAACACAAACAAACAAATAATTGTTGGAGGGTTTCACGGCAATGCATGACTGGAGCATGGGTTAACACAGAGAGGTGTCAAGACGAGAGAGATTGAGTGAACTTGCTAGAGCACCATCAGTTATAGTTGGGTAATATTAAAACAGAAATAAGTTACTAGGAAATTAAAACTGAAACCACTTGAGTGAGATTCAACTGGCATGGACAAAATAATAAAAACCCATCAATGCATGAGAGAAGATCCTCTAATAAAAAATGAGGATCCATGCATCACACCCATACAAATTCTAGTTATTGTTACCATATTTCGAAGCCTCCGGAGCAATCTTTTGCAGATAAACTAAAGGATCCTGGAATTCTACTAAACTTGGGCAGTACACCGGGCATTCTGGAATTTTATCAATCCATTCAAGGCCAGGTGACTCAGATTTTTCCACTTTGCGCTTGGAACATTCAACTTTCTCATTTGAACTGCGGTCAATTTTTATGTGCGCATGAGATGTTTTGTGTAATCTCACACCACATGGAGAAGAAGCCCTTAAAGCATCACCACCACTCCTGCTCATCATCTTGCCCACAGTTCTAAAATCATTTGAGTGCTCTGTTTTCATCCGCTGCAGCCTCTTACGTTTCAAGAATTCCAGTTTAGCCTCCCTTGACGTACAAATCCATCCTTCCACCTGCCAAGTAAAACCTAAGCAATAAGGATCAAAGAAACAACTGAAACGGAAACTTTAGTTTGTTTTCATCCATAAGACCTTTTATATCTTCTACAACTTGAACTTTAAAATACTCTTTCTCACCCATAATGATCAAAGTACAACTAATTGTCAAACCTAATAACACATCACATCTGTCCATGCATCTACCACCCTTATTTTCAAACCTACTCACATTTCACATCCATTTCTGAAGCAAACAGAATAAGACAAAATGCATTTACTTCCTAACATATACAACCTTTACAGAAGTACAAACACAGGCATATTTTCATCGTTACTCCAAAAGACCAAACCTCAAAAAAGATGGAAGCAAACAAATGAAGCAAACAAATGGAATCACTCTAAATTTCTAAAATAGGGAGCACATGCCGAAAACCTCCAGAAACTTGGACAAGCATAAACTTGAAACGGCCAACATTTCAAATTCATAAGAATGTCTCGATTAACCCACTTATGTTTTCTTCGTTTCTGTAAGCTTGTGACAATAACAAGACTCGGATTTAAACTTATGATAACACGAAATCCTTGTGAAAGGATTTTCATAGGTATGTACCAACAGTAACTTTTTACAAACACAGAGTCACATGACGCATGAGTGCAATACACCTTTCACTAGTTCAACAAAAGAACAGGAAAAAAACATCACTAATGCATATCGTAATCATCTAAACAATAAAAACTTTCCACCTGAATATTAAATAATTACCACGACCACCAATCAATAACTACAACCATATTTTCCAGTAATCATCAAAACCGACAAAACAGCCAGGGGTAAATAATCGCAAAATTAACAAATTACAATACTAAGCAATAGATTTATTCATAAACCCAACGATGAACTGGTGAGATCTAACGTTTGATGGAGAAAGTAAAAAAGAAAAGGAAAAGGAAAGTAGTAGGGACTTCAAGCAACAGTGCAGCCATTTGGTCACAATAAATAAAATCCCGGGCTTGTTTTCCAGATAAAAGATGAACAGAATGTAGCGGTAAATCTCAACACATACACACAAAAAGTAAACCACGGACACAGATTTCAATTGAAGAACATTCATCAATCAGCAGCATTATTCTAAAAATTCTTAAGATCCACACAGTAGAACAAATAAACGTACCATCTCATCCCGGAACACTTCGCCGTTAGACTCCGTCCTATCCGACTTTTCACCGGTAAACGAAATGAATAAAACGGAACTCCCCTCCCTCAGCCTCTAAAGTCGCCGGAAAATCGCCCGAGGCAGCGATCCAGAACAAAAACAACACGAAAAACTCTACAACGCCTTCCACATTCTCAGGAAATCCACAATAACTGAGTCAAACTCGGAGATCGAAACTTCACCAACAAAATCGAACAGCCGATGAAAGACACGAGACACGCTTGTCGCGTGCAGCGGCAGTAACTATCTCTCCGGCCGCACTGTACGCCGGCAGACGAGCTGTTCACCGGCGGGATGTAGAGAGAGAAAATACAGCAGAGAGAGAGAGAGAGAGGCGGAACTGTAGATGGAATCCTAAAACAAAAGTAAGGTTTTGGAAAACGGAAAAAGTAGAAAAGTTGAGGATAATTTAATAATTTATAGGTTTTATTTTTAATTTATGAAAATAATAATATTTAATTGTTACTACTAATTACACTTTATAATTTATTTCCAATTAAATTAAAAAAAAAAAAAAAGGCAAAAGGAAAAGGCAAAAAACAGAAATAAAGTAAAAAAGTTTGTGGTGGTTGTTAAGTTGGTTCAACCAAACGCCTACAGCTATCCAAAACGGCAGCGTTTCGACACCCTTTGTTGGGATGAGGTCACATGTAGGAGATTGTGGCTCGGGGCTGATTAATTAATTAATATTATATTTAAATGTTGAGTGGGTCAAAATGGTAAATTAACTGAAAGTCTGAACGGCGTTTTAGTTGGTCAATGGGGCAATTGTCACATGGGGGTGAGGACCATGGAACGGGTCCTGTGGGTGCGGCTGTTTTGGCCGCGTTCCTCCCAAGTGCCGAATTGTGGTCTGTTAATTTTGACGGTCAATTAAAAAGTGTGAATTGAAAAGGGTTTACGCGTTTGACACGTATGGACACCTCCACCAACCCATCTTTATTAATTACGTACTTTTTATATTTATTATTATGATGGTTACACCAAATTGTTGTAAAACTACGTTTTTACCCTTTTGGTGTATGGTTAGTAAAACTACTATTTCACATATCCAAACAAAATTTTGCAGATGATATGTGTTTGGGTGTAATATTTAAATTTATAAGTTTTTTTTTTAAACGTTAGAAAATATTATAAATTAAAATGCATAAATATGCGAATACAAATAGTTCCTAGCTGAATAGAATAACGAACAACTTAAAAGTGGGAGGACAGGTCAGAAGACTGTCTAGAGTCCCGACTAGCAACGTTAGAATACAAACTCGCAACTAAACTAACCAACTACACTAACAAACAAAACAATTAAAAAGACTACAACAAGGTAATGTCCGAGTTGTTGGATCCCAACAGGATAATAAGTTCACACTCGGGCTCACAGAGACCAAATGGTCCAAACAAAAATCACAAAAGCACAACATGACAAGAAAACTAAGACAAAGGATCCTAATCTATCAACAAACAAAGCCTTTTCCCAACGAGAAAACCAGTCCCAGCACAAAGGCACCAGAAAGATGACTAAAGGCAAACCGTCCCACAGCTAGACCCGGAATCTGGAACGTCACTCGTGCCATTGCCTAAAGCCTAGCAAATGACGAGTCCCGAACCTCGAATCACTCTAAGGATGAAGCCGACCCACAGCCCTCTGTGTTGACCAAACCCCCACCACATGCCCGGAATCCAGCCAACACCACTGGCTTAGAAACGAGCGTGCCGGACGTCCAACTCCACAAAACCAACCGAATGGACATAGGGGGATCGAATAGACCCACCTCTGCCCTGGCCGACTCGACTCAGACGAGTCGAGCAATCGGGTACTCACCCAAACCCGACCACTCCCCTCCTTGAAGAAGCCCCCCGCGAACCAGATGTAAAGAGGACGAGCACCAACCTGTGACCAAGCAGAGATGAAACCAGCCAACGATCGACCATCATTGACGCAACTCGAGGGACCTGAAGGTGTGGCTACCACCGTCAACCTAGAGGCAGCGAATCCATTCGATGGCGACGGAGAATCACCATCAACGCAGAAGCACTGGGGAGCGAGGAATTGGGGCAAGGTCACGAAGCTAAAGGTCATCCTCCGGTGAAAGGATCGGCGAATCGCTGGGGAAGGCACGATTCAGGCGCAAATCGGGCGGACGACGAAGAAGGGTTTGAGAGAATTGGGGAAGCGAGAGCGAATTTTTTCCCATTTAAATTCATGAATGAAAAGTTTATTTAAATTTCAATTGTAATTTTGGTGTTGAAAATTCTATATTACATTAGGAACATATTGAGCATTAGGAACATATTGAACATACTCGATATTTTCAAGAACTTCTACAAATCTCTTTTGAACGCCCCTTGACATTGTCGTTTGTATATTTTGGTACAAAACAACACGACCAACGATATCTACAAATCAATAATCACTAATTGATTAGAAAAAAAAAAAAAAAGTTTAATATAGAAAACAAAATTTTAAACTATTTTGAAAGTATATAAAAATTACCAGTATTGTAGAGTCAATGCATGTCGGATCGGCAAAGTCGTTGAAATCCTTAAAACTGAGCATAAATCAAGGTAGCCATCATTGAGAAGCTGTTTGAAATTGAGAGCATATTTATCTGTTGTAGAAGTTTTTGAGATGATTTTAGAAGTAGAAATGCAACATGAGCATTAAATTGTTAATTATATAATATTTAATTCCATGATTGTTGTTGAAAAAATTTAAAACTGATACTTTATGGTGTGTACATTCTATCGCCAAAAACTTTTATCAATTGTGAATATTTTGGTGGTAAACGAGTATTAAAAGTTTTGCATAATCTCGTGGATGTTGTTATGTAACCGACTGAAGCATACTATCTTCATTTTATTATTTTAATTTTTAACTAATTGATTTTTTTAATATTTTTTACTCAGTGATACGACCTTCATTGTTGTTTGGATATTGACTGCTTTTATGAATTCATATTATGTTGAACGTTGATATTTTTTTCCCGAAACGATAGATATATTATATAAATACGCACAAATGTGCAAAGGAATAAATACAACAACAACCAATAGCTGAATAAAAATGGGAGGACAGTCAACATACCGCCTAGAGTCGACCCCAACAGGGTAATCCTTAGGAACACAACAAAACTAGAACAAAACACAAAGACGACCCCAACAGGGTAATCCTCGGAAACTAGAACAAAACACAAAGATGACCCCAACAGATAATGCTTGAGTGTGGGATCTCAACAGAATAATAAGATCACACTCGGGCTAACCGAGACCAACGACCCAAACCTAAAACACAATAACTAGAACAGACAAAGACACTAAAAATACAAAACTAGAACAACAAAAAAATAAACTAATACATATAACTCTTCCCCGACAAACGAGCAGGCCCGAGCAGTAGTGATTTAATCGACACAAGAAAGAGTCCCAGCCCGAGAAGCCACTATCGAAACTGCGCAACCGCTTATACAGTAGTCAAAACCAGAACCGGAACCAATCCCAGAATCGACCCACTCCAACCGAATGAAAACCTACCAACCAAACCTCACCCGCTCCTCCCGAGCCCATCTAACACCACTAGCCGAGTTTAAGAGAGTCGGGATCCCAGTTACCCTCCGCCTAACACCACTAGTCGAAACAGGGAGGGGGTAGGTGGTACGATTCATCCACTCTGACCGCCACAAAAGAGACATCACAACAGTTGGGGTCTTCCCATCCTCGGGCCCGCACACTGCTGGCCAAGGCCCACCGTCGTCGGGGAAGGCTATCAGCGGCGAATTGCAACTAGGGTTTCGGCGAGAGATTTAAATTGGGTATCGGCAGAGAGAAAGAGCACTATTACGAAAGTTCTATTTTTTTTTTTGGCCCTACATGTTGGCGTTGATAGATTTTACAAAATATTATATTGCTTGAACAAACAAAATATACTAAATAGTTTATGTAGGGCCAAAAGGTTTACCACGTAAGATTTATGAATTAGATGAAAATAATAATTTGAAATATAAAATAATTTTGCAACTTTCATTTTCTATATATAAAATATATATTGATTAATGATTTTTCTTTATTTTTTTGCAGAAAAAAATTACCATTAGAGGAGTTGGAATAACTTTTTTTAAAAAAATTACATTTATCAGATTGGATGTAATGTATATTTTGATATGCATTTTTTTAATTATTTATTATTTATTAGAAATTTTAAATACATTTTTTATTTTCCAAAAAAAAAGTAAATTGAATGTAACCTAACATCTAATCACATTATACAGTCAACACATCAAATGATCAACTTTTGTAAGTTTGAAGGATTAGTGTGTTAATTCTCTAATAACTAAATGAAAGGTTAAATAAATCAGAGGTGAACGGTTTTTGGAGGGAAGGAGTTATACTGCCACATAAGTAAAATTTATTAGGTATTATTATTATGATTTATTTAATGACTAGCTAGCGATTATGTGCTTGTTTGCGAGCACTTTTGAAAAAGTTTATTTAAAATGGACTTATCTAAAATGCGCTTCTCCAAAAGTCTCCATCATTTATTTCTACAGAATGGACTTTTTGGAGGAACAATTTATCCACAAGTCCGTTCTTAATTTAGCATCAAACATAATATTTATCCAAATGGACTTTTTCATCCAAAAGTCCATTTGAAAAGTGTTTCCAAACAAGCACTATATATACTAATATTTGACCATGTACATTTGTACAAATGTAAATAAAGTATTATGAGTTATTTATATGCGTATAGTGTTAAAGTTATAAATTAAATAATGGTATTATATTTTAAACATGGGATACTATGAGTTATATATATGCATATAATATTAAAATTATGCGCTAGATAATGTTATTATATTTTAAATAAATTTATTGGTTAAAATAAATAGTACATAACGATTTGGTTGCATATGAATCACTATATTGATTGTATAAAATGCAATAAATAATGTATTTTTTGTAACTTTGAG